AGCTTCAGAATTCAGTGGATGAAGTTATGTGATTTTTCCCCCCAAGATTGGGCTGAGAGACTAGAATTTTATTTTAAAAAACCCAATTCTGTATTTTTTCTTTAAACTGCCCTCAGATTTCAGTTCTCTTTTAACTATGTAGGCTCGATTCTTTTCCATCTGAAAACAATTGTCCTTATTTTATAATATGAAAGCAAATAGGGCTTGGGTAGTTGTTTAATCTCAATGAGATTTATCTGCCAAAGGGGTAGCTTTGGGAGATTAGACACCCAGACCTTTCTTATAATCTTTCAGGACCAGCTCTGAACTACTAAAAGTTGTGAGTCACCATCAGCATAATCACCAAAAACTTAATCAGATTTGACTCTTAAAAACTTGAAGTTTTCAAAGTCAAGTCTGCCCCCAGAGAACAAAGATTGCCCCTATTGGGAATATTTACTTAATAATAATAATGGGCCAGGCATGGTGGCTTATGCCTGTAATCTTAGTACTCTGGGAGGCTGACAGTGAGAGGATTGCTTGAGCTCAGGAGTTAGAGACCAGTGGAGCAAGAGTGAGAGACCTCACCCCACAACCACCTGTCTCTACTAAAAATAGAAAAACTGATGGGTGTTGTGGCTGGGGCTTGTAGTCCCAGCTACCTGGGAGACTGAAGAAAGAAGATTGCTTAAGTTCAAGAGTTTGACCTGGCTGTGAGCTGTGATGCAACAGCACTCTACCCAGGGTGACAGAGTGAAACTCTGTCTCAAAATTAAATAAATAGGCTCTGGGTGGTGACTGTGGCTCAGTGGGTAGGGTGCTGGCCCCATATACCAAGGGTGGCAGGTTGAAACTGGCCCCGGCCAAACTGCAACAAAAAAATAGCTGGGCATTGTGGCGGGCACCTGTATCCCAGCTACTCGGGAGACTGAGGCAAGAGATTTGCTTAAGCCCAGGAGTTGGAGGTTTCTGTGAGCTGTGACACCATGGCACTCTACTGAGGGTGATAAAGTGAGACTCTGTCTCTATAAAAGAAAAATAAAATAAAATAAATAGGCTCAGCACCTACAGCTCGAGCAGCTAAGGCACCAGCCACATACACTGAAGCTGATGGGTTCGAATCCAGCCCAGGCCTGCCAAACAACAATGACAACTACAACCAAAAACTAGCTAGGCATTTTGGTGAGTGCCTATAGTTCCAGCTACTTGGGAGGCTGAGGCAGGAGAATCACTTGAGCCCAGGAGTTGGAGGTTGCTGTGAGCTGTGATGCCACAGCATTCTACCCAGGGAAACAGCTTGAGGCTCTGTCTCAAAAGATAAATAAATAAATAAATAAATAGATAAATAACTTAATTAAAAATAATGGGCATGGTGGGTGGCATGTGCCTGTAGTCCCAGCTACTTAGGAAGCTGAGGCAAGAGAATGAGGTTGCTGTGAGCTATGATGACTTACCAGGGTGACATTCCATCTCAAAATAATAATAATGGTAAATATAGAACTATGTACCAGGTTAGCCAGGTGTAGTGGCACACATCTGCAGTCCCAGCTACTCTAGAGGCTGAAGCAGGAGGATCACTTGAGCCTGGGCATCAGAAGCTATGATCGCACCACTGCACTGTGGCCTGGGTGACAGAATGAGGCCCTGTCCCTTAAAAAAAGGAAAAAAGAAAAAGAACTAAGCACTAGGTATTTTCATACATTATATGTCTTCACAGCAGCCCATAGGTATTACATTTATTCCCAGCAAATAGATTCGATTTGAGAGCATGAGTAACTTATCCATATAACATTGAAATTTGGACTTTAGTCTGACAACCAGAACCAGACTTTTTTTTTTTTTTTTTTGAGAAAGAGTATTTGTCACCCTCAGTAGAGTGCTGTGGTGTCACAGATCACAGCAACCTCAAACTTTTAGGCTCAAGTGATTCTCTTGTCTCAGCCTCCTGAGTAACTAGGACTACAGGCGACCACCACAACACCTGGCTATTTTTAGAGATGGGGTCTTGCTCTGGTTTAAGGCTGGTCTGGAACTCCTGAGCTAAAGCAATCCATCTGCCCTGGCCTCCCAGAATGCCAGGACTACAAGCATAAGCCGCTGCACCTGGCTTCAGAACCAGGCTTTTTAACCACTGGAATGTTACCTACTATAAGCAAGGTACTGTGGCATTCCAGAACTGGGTAACAAACTCAAATAGCTTATGGAGCCTAAGTTCATGATATGTGACAAGTGTTACACACAAAGGAAAATTTAAGTGTCTGAGAAGACAGGCACTATGTTATTTAAAGATGTATACTATAAATTCCAAAGGCAATAGAGATAGATGTTTAAAAAAGGAGAAAAGTTTAATTAAACTCATGAAGGTTTGTACAGTATAAAGAGCAACAAAACTGAAATCTGAAGACACGGATTCTGTTTCCCGGTACCACTTACTAATAAGTGACCTTGGGTAAGTCTCAGTTTTTTCAACTTAAACATGGAGATAATACCTCCTCTGCCTCCCTCCCTCATTGGGTTATCACGAGAATCAAATGAGTGAGTATATACAAAAGTTTTCGGGAAATGCAATTATTATTATTATTATTATTTCTTGAGACAGAGTCTCACTTTGTCACCCTCAGTAGAGTGCTGTGACATCACAGCTCACGATGACCTCAAACTCTTTGGTTCAAGCGATCCTCTTGCCTCAGCCTCCCAAGTAGCTGGGACTACAGGCTCCCACCACAACGCCCCGCCATTTTTAGAGACCGGGGCCTTGCTCTTGCTCAGGTTGGTCCCGAACCTTGGAGTTCAAGCAATCCACACACCTCTGCATCCCAGAGTGCTAGGATTGCGTATACTGGAATTTTATACAATATGGTATAATTACATCATCAAAGTAGTTCCCTAACATGGAACAGTAAATATACGTAGGTATAGATCAGAAAAGTTTCATGGGGTTGTTTAATCTTTTTTTTGCAGTTTTTGGCCGGGGCTGGTTTTGAACCCACCACCTCTGGTATATGGGGCCCGCGCCTTACTCTTTTGAGACACAGGTGCAGCCTGAGGTTGTTTAATCTTATTACATTATCTTACTTCATTTCAATGCAATGCAATATTCCTCCCCAATGCAATCAAGGACCCAAGTCAGAAGAATTGAGATGTTAAAGAAATGGCAAGTGTCACTAAAAAAAAAAAAAAAAAAAAGTTCTTCCCTTGCTTTTTGGTATCTCTCCCCTCCCCCAGGCTCTATTCTGATTTATTAGAGAAAGCCAGCATAAACGCATCTTATTAGCAATTCTTAGCCAGGAAATATGAGCACTTAGGGTCGATTGAAAGGGATCTGGGAGAAGGGGAAGTCAAGGGGAAGAAAAGTGTCATACAAATAATAATTTAAAAAAAAAACCTAGTTTGACTACTAACAAGAATATCATTTTGTGTAAATTCAAATTATCAGATATTTAAAACTTTACAAATGTTTCATTTTATTATCTCAAAATGTTTTCCTTGTCAATGCACCTTTATTTTGATGCTTACAAACAGTTCAAATTCATCTAAGTTACAGGCAAAGTTCTGGAAGCAATACAGCTAAGGGTATTACTCTTTTACATGCAGGTAGGTTGAAATTCCTAAATAGATGTAGCCGTATTATAATGAGCTTCAGGGGAAGATAATGCTGCCTTCAGGTTCTAAAGGTCTAAACTGTTGCTTCTTTTTCCTTTCTTCATCCAGAACATGCTAAAAGCAGTTAGTGTGGTAATGCCTTAGTGACAAAAGCTAGATTTCTGTCAGCAGCTTTCAGAAAGGCTAGCTTTTAGCCTGTGCCCTCATCATGTGCCACAGATTTAGTTTGGGATTAGCAAATGTTAATCCACATGCAAACGCTATGATCCACACATGTTTAGCAAGCTGATTACGCTCTTTAAAGGTATATTTCAACACTTCTTATGGTTAATTAATTTCAGGAGACGTGAACAAATGCACAACATTTGTGTCTTTCCCGGTCTGTTCACCTTAAAACCAGGTAACCCAGCAAAGTCTGGTCCCTCATAGCAAGCTCAGAGAATCTAGGTATCCCCTTCTCGTCTCTCCTCTCAAGACAGGCCCTTTTGTGTGCAGAGTTCTCACAGATGAAAGAACTTGACTAACTTGAGGAAGAGATAATAAACGTCTCTCCCAAAGGTAATTGTTCATTTCAGGGCACTCTTCTGAGATGTTCTTAAGCGAGTGCTGCAGCTGAAGGGGGCAGGAAGGATAAGAGCAGCGCCCAAATGTGGGGCTTATCACCCAGAGATGCCTCCAGTCCGGCTGACAAATCTCTGAAGTGGGAAACAGTCAGATTTCCCTCCACAGGGCTCCGGCGTGTGAGGGAAGGAGGGGGATGGGTAGGGGGCCATCAGGGGAGAAGTCTCCGGCCTTTCCACGTCTCTCAACACCATCCCCCCACCCCACCCCGCCTCCTCCTCCTCCAATCCCAAACTAGCCGGCCGGAGAGGGGCCTCGGGGGCCGGCACAGCAAGGAGGGTCGGCCTTTGTGGCGCTGTCCTAGACGGCGGCGCGGAGGCCGAGGGGGCGGAGACCCTCAGCCGGGGCTTGACCCCCAGGTGCATTGTCCGGCAGCGCCCGTCCCCTCCCCCCGGGGCCGCGACCCGACCGCCACTGGGCCCCCTCCCAGCGTCTCCCTCCGCCAGGCGCGCCGACCTCCCGGTCCCCAGACCAGGGGCCAGATGTAGAAAGTAGTTCCCAGGCCGGCAGCCGCGGCGCCGTCCACTCCGCCACCCCCGCCCTCTGCAGCCGCCGCCTCACTCCGCCCCCAGCTGGACACTCAGGCCCCCCGCCTCGCGCGAGCCGGTGTCCGAGCCCCGGCCTCGCCGCCACCAGAGGATCAGCCGCCGGCCGTGCTGCGCCGCCCACGCCGGTGCTGGAGCGGGAAGCCCAGGCTGCGCGCGTCCAGCCGCGGCACAGGGAGCGGCCGGAGGCGGGGACCGGCAGGGGACAGCGGCTGCGGGCGGCTGGGGAGCATGCCCGCGCGGCTTCGCTGAATGGCGCCTTCTCCGCGACCGCTCGCCCGGCTGCGGCCGCCAGGGATGCTGCTCGGCGCGCTCCTGCTGCTTCTCCTCGGCCCGCTTCCAGGTGGGCGCGCTTTCTCCTGCGTGTCTTTTGCGGATGTGGGGCGGGAGCAAGCGCGAGTGGGATGGGGAAAGATGAAACGGGGTGTGGGGGCGGCGGCGGGGTCCTGCGTAGTGGCGCTGACCACCGGTGCCTGCGCGCGCTCTCTCTCTCTCTGCGGCCCTTCCGGAGCCGCTAGCCGGAGGCGCAAGTTGCCCGCGGGCTTTGCGAGCGCGCGAGCCGGGCTGGGGCATCTCTCCCGAAGCGCGCCCCTCCCGCCGCGCGCCGCGGGCTGCGGGGTTCTGGCGGCCGCTGTCCAGTCTCTTCCTTTCCTTCTCGCGCCATTGTCCCGGCTCCGGCCGCGTCCCCGCCTCCTGGTCCAGCCAACGTTCCGCGCCGCCTGCCCGCCGGGGCCGCTGCGGCCGCACGTGGCTTTATTTATATTGTTTCCTTAGTGGCAGCCTCGCTGCGCAGGGGGCGCCCCGGTTCCACGCGGCTTCCTCTTTTTGCCATGGGGGTTCCCCCACTTTTAAGGGCTGCGGGAGGCAATGGGTGGACTCACAGTCCAGGTCAGCACCTTTAATCCTCCCAGATCCCCTGATCCAGAGCGAGCAAGGAGGAGATGGGAGGGTGGAATTGGAAAGAGGAATGGGTTGGAAGTTGTGCGGCCAATTTGTGCCCCGGAGGAGGAGAGAGAAAAGTGCCCAAAGCTGGGAAGGAAGGTGAATAAATAGAATTTATTTCCTGCAGCTAGGTATTTTGGGGCAGGGCTTGAGGTGTGTACGGAGCTAAAGTTTCCTTCAAACTCCAGACTGGCCTTGCACAAACTCGGTTGGACTTTTTTTTTTTCCCTCCCTTGCGTCGGTATTGGTTTCCTCAAAGAGATGAAAGCGTAAAATGAGTTGGGGCGGGGGTGGGGGGGAGGAGCGGATAGAAGAGGTGTTTGGGAGAATGGATTATTTTATTTTCTTACAAGTTACAAACGCCTGACTTAACGTTTTTTTCTGGAAGGGTTAGTTTCTGTTAGCATGAGAAAAGGATCAAAGTCAGATGTGGCTCAGAAACACAATGGGCGCCTTCCGGAGCGTTCCATGCAGCGCGGGGCTGTTAGGGATCGGGTCGCCCTGAGCATGTATTAGGGGAAGTCTAGAGAGCCGAAGAGCGTGAGGATTCCTAGGAGCTGCCTTGATGAGAAACGGAGAAATTATCTCTAGGGATTTGTAATCATGGATTCAAAACGATCAGAAGATGAACCCTCACCCCCCTCTCCCTTCGGTCCCAATCCATATGCAAGACCTTGCGCTAAATGCAGGAGGTGACAGAATACTAACTGGTCATCGGATGCTTTATCCCGGTGGGGCCAGTGGCAATGTGTATGCATAGAATAAAGGTTTTCCTCTGCTCTGATAAAAATGTGTATTGGTTGATTAAGCAATCTCCTATTCCTATTAGACAGTAAGGACCAATTAGTCACGCATTTTTCCCAACAGTTGGTAATTCTAAAAAAGTGAAACAAAAGTTTCCTAATCCGATCACCCACTGAGTACAAGCAGCAAGAGTTACCAACTTTTCAAAGTCTATTGTTTGTCCTTTAAATACCGAGCTTGCTCTGCAGAAATTAAGTAAATGGATTTCTTTCAAGGACAGGAGACTGAGTTTCTCCTTTCAAAAGGCAGATAGAAAACCGCAAACTTGTTATTTGTCACAAAAGATAAACGCACTTCCCAAAGAAGTAGGTGCCAAGGGTTCCAAAAACACTTCAAGGGATGAGGAAATAAAGTTGCTTGTTCACAGAGTTGGAGTTTTGCTAATGATTTCTTGTAAAATTAGACTTTTACGACTTACTCTGTTCAAGATCTTTTTGACAAGCTTGTAAAAGAAGCAGACAGCTTGTGCTCGTGAGTTTTGCTGAAGATTTTGAAACTTTACCAAAGAACTTGAGAACAATTCTCAAAAGGTATAGAAGTTACTGAAATCTCTGTTCTTTTAGGGTAGATGTTGTAAAAGGTAATTTTTCTAACTTGCTGAAATTTAGATTGATTTTTTTTTAAGATGTTAAACTTTGCCTTATGTGTTTTAAATAGTCTTAAGAAATGATTTTCTTCCTGTCATTCTGGATATGCCTTTCTCCCTTTTGCCTTATAGGAGTGTGGTGCTTTAGCGAACTATATTTTATAAAAGAACCACAGGATGTAACTGTCACAAGAAAGGACCCAGTCATTTTAGATTGCCAGGCTCACGGAGAAGTTCCTATTAAGGTCACATGGTTGAAAAACGGAGCAAAAGTGTCTGAAAGTAAACGGATCCAGGTTCTTTCTAATGGCTCTTTGTACATCAGTGAGGTGGAAGGCAGGCGGGGAGAGCAATCCGATGAAGGATTTTATCAGTGCTTGGCAATGAACAAATACGGAGCCATTCTTAGTCAAAAAGCTCATCTTACCTTATCAAGTAAGTGTTTTTGGTTGTTGACATTTTTAATTGCTGCATTTTCACATGATTTCTTGATTTATTAATATTATAACTCTAAAAATTATGCATACCTTAAGAATTTTACTGGAGATAATAGTTGGTGTTACATAAGGCAGGGGAATTTGAGAAAAATACATATATCATTTGAGTGACTGAGAACAGAAATCAAATTAGGTTTAGAATTACAAGTAAAATAAAACCTGTGGACATGGCTTTATATAAATTCCAGCATATATTTCACACTATAGGAAGAATTGAATGTAGAGGTTTGGCCAAAATAACAAAAGTTGTTGTAAAATCTCATCTTTTGGAAATTAGTGATTAAATGGAAACAATCACAAGCAAATGTTTCTGCTTTGTCCATGGGCCCAGTGAGTGCTAAATCTTTCTTACAGTCCAGCTTCCATTTCTCTGACTGCTTTTATATCATCTATGTTGCATTTTAATTGTAAGAGAGGGCATTGGTCAGTAACTTTCAAGGCTTCAAAGTATTCGTAGTCGTTTCCTACTGGGAGAAAAAAAGAGTAAGGTTATTTCCATACATGCATAATGGACTTAACCAGGTCTGCTTCTCCCCACCCCCAGTTATCATAAAGTTTGCTATCTAATGATTTCTTTTGTATTATCAATCTCATCAGATCAACCATTTGTTCAAGTGATCCATTGCTTGGTGGTTGACTGGATACCTTTGGAGTACAAAGATAGGCCTAGGGACAGGTTCCCACTGAGGCTTTTACCTCTTCAGGTGAGCAAATAGGCAGCACTCAGGATTACAATAGACTCTTTAAATCTTGAAAAACAAAACTGTGTTTTAAAAGTCATTTTATAGGCATTCTAGTTGCATGCTTTTGCTAATCCACAAAAGATTTTGCACTGTACTTAAAAATGATCATTTATAAAGTGAACAGTAGGAAGAAGGAGTTCTTGAGGTAAAGGCATAATCTTTAGGAAATAGCTTCCCCATTGTCCACACAGTTGAAATTTGGGAAGGTATTGGCAGGAATTTTAGGTGATTTGAACTATTATTAACAGTTCGTGGCCATATTTATGCCACCCTTATATTAGCAGTTCGTTTCATTGCTCTGCAATAATGATTAATTGCAGAAAACAAATTGCAAGTAAAGATAATTTTATTTGAAATATCAGAAAATTGGACAAGTTTCTAGTTCTAGCCCTACCCTTACTCCTGACAAACAATAGCATAAACCTGAGATTTTTGGTAATTTTTTTTTTTTTTTTTTTTGGCTGCTGTAGTCATTGGCTAATCAGTATTAGTTTTATGTACAGTACTATTTTCAGGATAATGTACTTTTATGCTTATGTTTCATTTAGTTTTTGTCTAATGTAAAATTGTTCTATAGAGTTATAGTTTTTCTGCCTGTTCAGGCTTATAGAATCTTGTGTTTTTGTTTTCATGCCCAGGGGCTGTAACTTGTATTATTTTTCAGGGGTAGAGTGGGGAGTGGAGGGGGGCAAGTAAGCTATGAAAAGATGAAGCATTTGTCATGACCGTACGTTGTTTCCAGGACCTCCTGAGAAGCTTGACAGAATTCTTGAGCTCCCAGAAACACTTTGGAAAACACACAGAGCTTTCTAACTTCATAAATAAAATCTGAACAGTGTGTGATAGGATGTAACAAACAAATGTTAGTACTGGCTTTTAAAATATCTTTAGATTTTTGTGCCTTTATAAATATCATTAATAATAAGTATTTAATTACATGTGAATCATTCTGAAGGCTATTGGGGGTGAAGTAGTTTTCATATTTTTTCAAGTAGCAAAACTTACCAATAAAACTATATAGATTAACACAGCTTTGCTATTAAATACCAACTGTGATCAGTTAAGGAACACGTCCTTTATATACACATTTTATTTCACTCTGAAGAGGTATTTTGCTAGGAAAATTCATTCAGTATTATTGGTTTCAAAGAAGAAATACATAGTGGTATAAACTTTTCTTGAGAAATATGGAATTTCTTAGAGATTTTGAATTCTGTAGTTAGTTCTGATGTCTAAGAAATAATATCTCATGATGGAGGTTCATATCACTTTATCCCATATTCAGGGTAAAGATGTATACCTATTAAACAGGAAGAGAATAGGCATTAAGTGGACATTCTGTTTTTTTTCTTTCTAAAGCTAGTTTTCTTCTAGTTACAACAGCAGGGTGCAAGTATGTTCTTTTTATTTTCTTAGTCAAAGGTTTTGTCAGCAAGCACATCTTTTACATCAGAAGTGTTACAGTACAGTACCTGGAAATCTAAAACTTTAATGTGTGCAAGTTTTAGATTTTTAACACACAGGCAATCAAGTCTTGGTTTCTAAACATAGGAACTAGAAGCTGAAAGTTGCACTCTAGGCAAGAATTCCATTATTCATGTGTAAATTAGGAATTCACAGGGTTAAAAGGTTAGAAACTGGCCAGGATGAGGTTTACCCTTGTGATAAAGAGCAGATGACCCTCATTCATTGGCCAAAGCTTTCATGTAGCTCTTCTGCAAAGTTAGTTATTGCCATGAATTGTTCTTGAGGAATGCAGAAATTCAAATGTGAACAGGCCTTTCCTTAAGTGTCACTATGGAGCCTTATCTCCCAAGCACATCAGAGCAGGGCTGCAGGGACAAGGTTCCTCCCTAAAGGCCTGGAGGCTGTGCTTTCCTGTTGTTCATCCAAGCACAAAAGAATTCATCTAACTTAGTTTTGCTAAGGCATCCCCTTTTTAAAAGAAAGTATAGGGTTAAAGTAATATTTAGCTTAAAAAAAGGTAATCCTTTTTATTGATAGCCACTTAAGGTGTTTTACAATTTCATGTCATTAGAAGAGAAAGGGAAGTGATGTGGGAGGCCCTTTGCCAGTCGTATACAAGAGAAGATTAAACTGTTTCCTATAAATTTCAATATTTTGAAATTGAATCAAATTTAAATCAAATTTTCACTTTCGTGGGCACTAAATCTTTGTTACATAAACCATTTAATTTAAAAATGTTGGGAATAAGAAATAATCTATGGACAGCTTGACATCTCTTGCATTCTTAATGTTGAAATAAGTAAGATAAATTTCATAGGAAAGCATTAGTGTAGTCAAACGGTCTCATATTTCAACAAGTTTAAATTAAGATAAGAGACAGTTGAGAGAAGTAAAGGAGGAGGCGGGTTGTGTTCTGTGATGTGTAAAAGACTGGCTGTAAGCTAGTGATTGAACAGGAAGCAAGTTGTTTATTTCCTTTCCATAAAAGGTGGAAATTGAAGTCTTAGGATAGAGGGAAAAAGAACATAAAGCTGACTTACATTTCTTAGGTTTTAAAGGACATTAGTAGGAATTAGTGTGACTTTCTGATTTTTTTCCCCCAAAATTTGAGGTTAATTTTGACATCGGTAAAGTTGTTCAGAGGGTGCATTTCTGTAACCTTAAGCAATAGTCATTTCCTGTAAAAGAATGTAGGTTGTTATTCATGAATAGAATGTTTATAACTTGAATTTGAATTAAGATGAAGTTTGAGGGGTTTTTTTGTGGGGTTAATGAAAACTGTTCTATGGGTGTTGTTTGTATCTTAAAGACGAATGCATAAATTATTCTCCAAAATTGATCTTGAAGTGCAAAGTTAAAACATAAACATTTAAAGATTCATTTTCTTTTGAAGGGGGAGAGTAGTATATTTAAGAGAGAGCAATAAGAAGGATCAGACTATAGCTTAGATTTTGGATTTTATTAATGATACTGGACCCCAAATAGGCAAGACTTTGCTGCATTGTTTTCTTGAGAGTTGTAGATGCTATAAAGGACAGGTCTCTTACTTGGGAGCATGATCTCTTTGAGTTAGCATTTACCTATCCTAATTCAGGAGAGCCAACACATGAGTAAAAGTAATTTGATCTTGAAAAATAAGACTGGCAGAACTGAGGTTTTTAGAGAAATCCATCTGCCTGCACTGTAGATAAGATTGATTTGATGCTTTCTGGGATCCAAGAAAAATCACCTTTAAAAAGAGGAGGTGTGGTTCAAAAGAATATGTTTAACTTCAAATAGATCATCTTAAAGTTGCATTAAGTGAAGTAAAGGCAGTAAAAAATTTGTGTATAGTTCTGAAGCTTTATTTACATAAAGTCTGTCTACTTAAGTTCTGTTTATCAGATGCCTGGTAATCTCTGGATAATGGACCCAGTTTTTCTCATTTTGCTTTTGTTTACTGAGGATCATTTCTCCTTTTCAGAAACCTAAAATACTATTTTACTCTTTTTGGTTTTTGGATTTTTGGTTTTTAGCAAAGTACCATCCAGTAAGGGCTAGAATTATAATTTCCTTTGAGATGTGTATAAATGGATTTATTTATTTTACTTCTGTCCAATTTCTGTTTTCCCCCCGCTAAATTTTAGGATTTTTTTTTTTTTTTGTAAACAGTCTCACTCTGTTGCCCAGGCTAGATTGCGTTCGGATCAGCCCAGCTCACAGCAACCTCAAACTCTTAGACTCAAGTGATCCTCCTGCCTTAGCCTCCCAAATAGCTGGGACTACAGGTGTTTGCCACAATGCTCAGCTATTTTTTCTATTTTTAGTAGAGGCAGGGTCTTGCTCTTGCTCAGGCTAGTCTCGAACTCAAGAGGTCATGCAATCCACCCTCAGCCTCCCAGAGTGCCTGTAATCCTGCGTGAGCCACTGCACCAGGCCTTGTCCAGCTTCTTAATGGAATTTTGAAGTGTATTTGTTATGACTCCCTTTTGACAACTATCCGTGATTATTCCAAAGAAGGGGTCTCACTTACAGCAGTTGTTTGCTCAGGGATTTGTTGTCATTGCTCCTAAATTTAACACCTGAGCCTATTGATAAAGTCCGGAGTAATTTAAAAGAATAGTAAAAACCAAATCTTTTATGTTAAAAGAATATTTCAATTAATAAATAAATGTATTTGCGGTTACTTTTTTGAAAACCATGATATTCTTGACTAGTTTTGAGAGATGATTTTTGTCTCTCATAAACA